AGGCATATACTACTTCAAAATCTAGCCCCAACCAGTCTCTTCATTCTTTCTCCAACTACCCCACCCCAAATGTTCACTTTTCAAACTGTTTTCCTAGTTCCTTGAACAGGGCATTGTACACCAGTACCACCCTCCTATCCCCAACTATTAGGCAAACAATTACTTTTTCAGACTCAGTTTAAAAAGCACTTTTCTCAGTTTCAACTTCTGCCAATATCCTCAGGTGAAATTATTCATTCTCACCTCAGAGGAACTTGCTTGTCTCACTGCTATATTGTACGGTGATTGATTTGTTTACCTGTCGCTCTCAGGTTAGACTGTGAATATCTCAAGATCAGACCTGTTACGAATCTTTGTCTATCCAGACCTGATGTAGAAGCAGACCCTGTGATGAGTGAAAGGATGGTCAGTGGCCGGAGAGACGCTAATCTTCCAGGGTCACAGGAAACGTACAAAGATAACTGCTTAAAGGAAACGGACTTGTAATTTTCACCTCTTTTCCTGTGATTTTTTGGGCTGTTTTCAGTTTATTGCACGAAGGAGTTACACTAGTCCAAGTTAAAAGTGGACCCCAAATGGTTACATCATATAAGCTGTAAGGTTTTAAACTTGTGACAAGGGGCAGAGGGAATGTTTCTACTCATTGCAAGGAAATCCTCACTTTAGCTTCCATGAGCTACAAGCACTTAAAACCCATGACCCTTCAGCTGGCCGTCCTTAGGCAGGCCAATCTCTACAAGGAGCTGTCCTATGTGCCAGCACTGGTCACCTTGCAGCTGAATCACTGCTCCATATTCTGGATGCTCCATCACAGTGCCATTGCAGGCAAACTTCTTCTTAAACGCCTTCCCTAGTTTCTTTTTGTCATCATCATCAGCGATCCCTTGGACAGTAGTAAGGGTCTTCCTGCCGTTGCGCTGCTGAATTCTTATATGGATACAATCCTCTGTCCCGGCAGGCAGCAGGTCATCCCCCTTACTTGCATCATCAGCAAAGGGGTGGAAAGAGCAGAGGTTCTGGATTGTGGGCCTACAATAGGATTCCTTTCCCTCGGTGGAAAAGGCCTGCGGAAGGTGGCAGCTGGAGAAGGCGGGCAGGGGGGCCGGAGCGCCGGGAAGCGAGGGGGCTCGAGGGGGAGGCTGCTGAATGCTCGGTGGAGGCTCAGTGACTGGGGCTTTTTTTGTGATTCTTTAGGAGGCGGCTGATAGAAACTATCTAGCTTGATCTTCTGTGGAGAGGGCAGAGGTAGCTGAGATAGAAATGGGAAATCATAGGCTTCTCAACTTTGCCGTGGTGACATATTTTACTTTACCTCCTTGTGTTTTCTTCTGTTTTTTTTTTGGGTGGTGGGGGCGAGTCTTAAAATTTCATTTACCTGCTTGTGTTTTCATCTATCTGTTATAAGGAATGGAATCCAAGTGAAGCTATTTAAGTAAAAGAGGGATTGAATGTGGTAAACAAGGCACCCAAGAGCAGAAGACAAAGCTCAGTGGGAGAACCAGATCAGAGAACTGAAGGGTGGGGACCAGAGGCTCTTTCTCTCTAATGGGGCATGCCTTTCCTTCTCTGCCTCACTCTCAGGCAGCCTTACCCTAGATTTCATGACTTTTCAACTCACGAGTTCACTTCTAACTCACAATCTCCTTCTGCACGTTGGCACGAAGGTCCTGAGAGAAAGGCTCTGGTTGGTCTAGCTCTCCTTCTGGGTGATTCATAAGTCACACGACAGAGGCCAATCCATTGGTTGGCCTGCCTCATGCCCTGTTATCTGTATCAAAAAGAGTAGAATCACATGAACAGATGCCTCTCTCCTGGGTCTGTGAGCAGGTAGAGATCATCTGAGAAGGTCTAAGG